CCCTCCCAGACACACAGAAATGACGCCTGTTTAGCTGGGCATTTCTTAGCCCAGTCACTTTGACGTATAATATTAACCATCACAAAACATTTTGTAATGCTGCTATAAAATGTTTATACTAAACATTTTTTAAAAATAATCTAAAGCATTAGTTCTAGCTTCATTCTTAGCAAGATCCAGTTTTTGAGTACCTGCTTTTCTTAATATTTGAGTTAAAATCAGATTTAGAAGTGCTTTGAAAGGGAATTTGACCAAGTGGGAAGGTAAATTACGGACAAAATGGGAACCTAATTCTAGAAAATGTTACAAAAGGGAAAGTTGAAAATAATTACATGGTAACTAAACTGAATTAGTTCTATTTCACAGCTTCTTATTTTAGGGATACTTGAATTTTTCCTTTTTGAAAAATTTCATAAACATTTTATCATTTTAATTGTGATATTTTTGAATGTACAGAAACAGAAAATATTGAAACAGCAATCTCCCAGATTTATTTATTTTTTATTTTTATCTTTTTTTTTTTTTTTTTTTTTTTTTTTTTTACTTTAAAGAACTAGAAGATCAAGAATATAGCTACAGCCCCACTCAGCCATCCGTTCTCAGGGATAAGCACTGCCTTACCCACGCCTCTTTCCTTTGGTTATTTTTACAACATTTGTGCATGTGTATGCATATAGTAGACAGTATGTATCATTTTGAAAGATACATAAATAGCATTGTGTGTATTTTTTGCTAAGTAACTCAACATCACATTCTTAAAGATTCATTTTAACTGTTGTAGAGTTTTCCATTGTTTATCCATAAATCCACAATTCACCCTACTGCAGAACAGTTAGATTGTGTCCACATTTTCACTATTTAAAAATTTTGCCCCAATAAGTGTCTTTGCACATGTCTCCTTGGGCATATTTCTTCTTAGAGTCTTCTTTACCCACAGTTTGCATAGAAACCTAGAAATGGGATTCTGGGCTGTAGGGTCCATGACTCTTCAACTTTGCTGGGTGATGCTACGTTCACAGTCCTGCCAACAACTCAGTGAGCTCTTATTTTAGCTCATCCTTGTCAACACTGGTTATTAGACTCTAAAACTCTAGACAGTCTATTGATGAAATGGTATTTACATGGGTTTTTATCATTCGATTTTTCCTTTTTTTGTTTTGAGAGTATGTTTATTAAAGCTGGGGACAGTGAAACAAGGAAAGACTTGGGACAGAAGAAGCATTGGGAGGGGGCCTAAGTGGGGCTGCTGTTGCCTCACTGGGAAGTAAAACAGCAACAGAAGTGAGCCAAGGCAGGGTTGCTGCTGGCTCACTGAAGAGTCAAAGAAGCGTGGGCCTTGCAGACAGGTTCAGAGGTTAGCCTGGGGCAAGCTGCTGCACCGTGGCTCCCCTGGTTGAAAGTCTCATCAGGACCCTTGGGGTTTAGGAGCAGAAAGTAAAGATGTGCGCTGAGAGGGGAGAAAGGTGTGGGCTTGTTCCCGAGAGGAATGGCTCCCATCGAGCTCCCTGTTTTTCTATCCATTTGTTTTTCTTTTCTGTTGATTTGTAGAGGTCTTTATATCGGGATACCAATTCTTTGTCTATTACTTACTTTGCCAGTGTTCCCACAGACAGGCAGTGCCATTTCTGTGATCAGCTAAGTTCCCATGCATGCTTTGGATCTGGGGACTTTCAAAACCAGTTCTAGATCCTTTTAAAAATGTACACCTTTTTAGAGCAGTTTCAGGTTCACAGCAGAATGTAGAGTTCCCATATACAGTATCCCCTGCTCCACCCACCTTGGTACAGCTTCCTCCATGAACAGTATCTCCTACTGTTGGGAACCGCCCTGCCTGGTTTCAGGAGCTGTAACCTCGCCGTGGCTAAGGCTGAGTGAGCGACCTTCAGACCATAAGCCACTAAGGAGACAAAGCTTATCTCCCTGGGAGGAGTGCGGCTCCTGCTCCTTTTTTCATAACTGGCCCCCAGTGCTTGATCAGTTAGCCAATGACGGGTAAGATTGCCCAAGGGGGGAATGACCTAAGACAGGCATGACCATGTGGGGGCCCCAGGGAAGGACTTGGGGGCTATGGAGAAAGGGGGTGATGGACCCTCGCCCCTCAGCTTTGACAAAGCCTGACTCCCCTGAGTGAATGAGAAGTCTCTGAAAATTCCTTGGCTATCTGCCTCCTCTGCCTGACTTAAGCCTGAGACAATGACAGAGGGCGGCGCAGCCCTGTGCTGGAAAGGGTGGCCTCCCCGAGTGATCAGACCTGAGAAAACATATGTAAAGTCCTGTGAGGTCTGCTTTGCTAAGAACGCTCTTAGTTAAATGATAAAGGTCCAAGGAGGAAATGAGTTTGTTTCCCAAAGTTTTGTAGCCTTTTAGCCGATAGACCCTGACTCAGAAGAAGCCCTAATAGTTCTTTGTATGCTATCTACTGTTTGATCCTTACTGCCTGACAATGATTAATGAGCTGTACCTGTCTTCCTGCACAAATTAAACACAATAAAAGCCTGTCTAGGAAAAGGTCAGTGCGCTCCCCCCTTGAGGGAGTAGCCATGCAGTCCCTTTTCTTCCACAGGACTTGGTAGTCTGTGCGAAGTTGTCTCTTGTCTCATCCACATTGCCACGGGCACTGCAGGCTGGTGTCTGCGTCATCCTACCAGAGTTTCAAATGTGTTATAGCTGATGAGTCTACACTGACACATCACTATCACCACAAGTCTGTAGCTTATGTTGGAGTTCACTCTGCTTCTGTGCATTCATTCTATGGGTTTGGACACATGTCTAATGCCATGCATAGTGACATGGATCTACCATGTTAGTACCACACAGGGAGTTCCACTGCCCTAAAAACCCTCTTTGCTCTGCCTGTTCTTCCTTCTCTTACCCCTGACAACCACTGATCTTTGTACTCTTTGAAAAGTGTTGCCTTTTCAGCATATCACAGACTTGGAATCATAACAGTATGTGGCCTTCGCAGATTAGCCTTTTTTATTTCGTATTATGCATTTAAGTTTTCCCCATGTCTTTTCACCGTGGGATCACTCATTTCTTTTTAGTAGTGAATAGTATTCCATTGTCTGGGCAGAATCACCAAACTCATTTCTCAAGATGTGTCTCCAGTGTTAGGCCATTGCATGATTATATTAGGAGGACGACTCAATTCCTCTTTGGGTCTGGGTTAAAGGTCTCAGTTCCTCCAGTCAGGGGCTTTTCCATAGGCTTTCTTCATTGTGCTCAGGACATGACAGATGTTCAGCACAAGCATTCCTGGAGAACGAGAGGAGGAGGCTGCAGTGTCTTGTGTTACCCAGTCTTGGAAGTCAGATACGCCTCAGCTTTATTCATTAGAAGCAAGTCACTAAGTTTAGGCCATAATGGGGTGGGGGAGGGGGGATTTTTTTTAAACTACCACACAGCTTTTAAACTGAACAAAATGAGATGCCGACTATGAAAAAAAATAGTCTCTGATACCATCATCTATCTTCTCTCACTCCCCACAGAGGTAGGTTTTAAACTGGAGGCTCTGGCCTGCAGTAAGCCATGAGCTCAGGGCACAGCATCCCTGAGGTCGGCACAGCACAGAAACAGTGGGAAGGAGAACGCACAGAGCTTTGCGATTTCAGACCTCCCTTTCTTCATCTTTGTTTTAAACTGGCCTATAACATACCTATGACTTTTTAATAGAATAGATTATATAAATTATATTTAGTTCAGCCTAATTGTGAATAACACCTGTTTTAACATGCTGTAGATTCGTTCACTCAACACATTTTTATCATAGTTGTTTTAACCCTTGTATTTGTTTTTAATTTTTATCTTTTTATATCAGTCTCTAAGAGACTGCAGTCACTTATTTTTTTTTTAAATGCAAGCACTCCTCTTCGAACACAGCTAACCTGTGTTTGCCCCCTTGGTGACTGTCTCAATGGCTCAAAGCTATGGCTTAAGCAGGCAACTGCCGTTCCTCAGACTTTGCAAATAAATTAAGATCTGGGCCTTGACTTAGATTTTAAGCAAAGGAAGAAACAGGAACAAAGGTGTGAAACTTTATAATGCAGGGACATGCAGGCCATAAAACAAGGGAAAAAAATCAAAGATAGTGATGGTGTGTTCCATTTGACAAAGGGGGAAAAACCCTAAGGGGAAAAAAAACTTCACAAGTTTCTGCTACACATTTACTCCATTTTACCCACAGACGACCCTGCTAACCATTAAAAACGACTCATCGTTACTTAAGTCGGGTGATTTTCCCAAGTGTTCCATCTCCCAGGTACTGGAGTCTCCGAAGTCGGGGAGGGCCCTTCCGGTGGGAGACTGTGGGTGGAGTTCGGATTTGACAGCCCGGCTGTTGGCCAGCGGGAAGGCTCTGCAACTGTGTGACCTCGGGCAACTTGACTTTTCCAAGCTTCATATTTCGCACCAAAACACAGGGATGAATTAGTAGACCCTGTCTTTGGGCTTTCTCTGATGATTAAATGAGACAGAGACGTCAAAAATTCTTGGCACGTGAATGTAACTTTTTAGCTAATTTTTTTTAACATAAAGGAGGTGAGCTTGTTGAAAAACAAAAACAAACCTCTCCTTCGTCTTATAAAATTCAGATAAACCTTTTTAGAATTTAAATATGAGCAAATGTGGCAGAGAGGGAGAGGCTGTTCCCCTTCTATCACTATAGGACTTTCTTTGCTACTGAAAATCATTTTCTTAACCTTCTCGAGGCCACAATTTACACTCTCCAGGCTGACGTGGGTGAGATGGGGTAGGGAGTGGGGGTGAGCAGTCTCCGGGCCACAAAATTTAGCGCCCTCGCAGGAGAGAGAGCGCGGCGGCACTCTGGTCGCAGGACTCTGGCTGCGGCCCAGGCGGGACGGAGGCAGCGGGGAGGTGCGGCGGCGGGAGCAGCTGATCTGGCCGTTCAGGGTCCTGGGTGACCGGGCAGATCGGGCTGCCTGCGGGCTCCGCCTCCAGCCCTCCTGGCACCGCCTCCAGCCCCGCCTCCTCCTCCTTCAGCGCTTCAACCGGCGCTGGCCTTGGCTGCTTCGATCCTAATTGTGGCCACCCAGCCGGAGCCATGCGGACTGCGGGCCCGGGGACGTGCCTGGTGCTGCTGCTGCTTTTGGCCGGAGCTGGGGTGTCTGCTGTTTCCGTGCCCCGAGATCCGCCGCTCTTCAACGTGAGCCTGGACGTGGCCCCGGAGCTGCGCTGGCTACCGGTGCTGCAGCACTTCGACCTGGACTTGCTGCGCGCCACCATGGCGCACATCCTCGGGTGAGCGCGGGACGGGGTCTGCCGGGAGGGTCTGCCCAGTCCGAGTGCAGGAAAGCCCAGGCGCGTGGCCCACTGTGTTTGAACGGAGACTTGTCACCCCTTCCCTCCCCCTCTGTTATAGCCTCGCCCTCCACCACCCCCCTCCGCCCGGCCTCTGGAGTGCCTCTGGAGTGTGGAGGGGTTGGCGGGGACCAGAACTGGTATTTGCTGCTGCTCTAGGCAGCATCAAGGTTGGGGAGGATCCGGCGCGGCTGGTTTGGCTTTCAGGTTCCGTGTCACCAGTGGCACGCCCGTCCTCAAGACATCCCAGGTCAGGGTGGCGCACGAGATGTGGCCCCGGATGCTCAGCTACTGAATAGGGGACGCAGCCCACGTCCTCCTCGTGGGCTTCGTGGGCCCTCCAAGTGCGCGCCTTTGGGGACTATGCACTCTCATCCTTTCTACTTCTGTGAAAGTTTCAGTTTTTCTCCTGGAGGCTGGGGATCGGGTGATGCGGGACCTGAGCTGTCAGATTTCTGGGGAGGAAGGCACCGAGCACTCGGCCCTAAGGACGAGAGCGTTAGATACTCCCAACCCCCCAGGCATACGCACTCGCACGCCTCCAACAAGTGAGCTCAAGCACCCTCGTGACTTTTCGTTTCTAGGGATACGGTCCCCAAGTGGGTCCATGCAGTAATGCGAAAGGCGGTCAAGGAGCTGGAAGGCTCTCTGCCCCAGCCCTACACCGACGAGGTCCGCGGCATGTGTGACGTCCTGAACTTCAGCCTGGCCGACTGTCTCCTCGTTAACCTGGCCTACGAGTTCACCGCGTGAGTGAGTGCCCCACGCGGCGTGATTAACGTGGGCTGGCTTGCCAGGATCACCTACCACATCTGAGTGGGAGCAGACGTGTTTTCAGTGTGATGAAAACAGAGCGGAGACCGGGCTGCCCAGAACCCTCCCAGCACTTCCTCTTTGCCTCTGTGTAAATCTGAGCAGCAGATGCGTGGGCTCCAGGCAGCTTCTCTGACCTCAGCACTGAACTTTTCCTCTACCTGAAGCCCCCTTTCCTCCCTCCACTAATCCCGGCAGGATCCCACTTTTGGAACTCTGCCCGGCGTGTACTTCCCAGGAAGGTTTTGGAACTAACCCCACTCTCCTCTGGACTCCGTAGCTAAACCAGCGACCCTCCAGCCTTATACTGCAGGGGCTCCTCCTAGTACTGATTCGTCCCCTGCATTTCTCCCCCTATGTTTGTCGTGCCTCGTGATCCTGACTCCTCTATTCCCGCAGCCTGCTCCCTTTAGGGCTGGGGTCATAGAGAACATGGTTCTGGCGAATAAGACCAGCCAATATTTGCTACGCTGAGTGGGCATGAGTAAAAAAATGTGGCGCACAAACGTGGAAGCAGTGTGGAGTGCAGGCCGACCCTAGGCAAAGTGCAGGGGGGCCCTGAAGGCTCCATTGACGCCTTAACAGGTTCTGGCATTAAGAACTTAGACTAGGTTTCTGCCTGCAGGATTTAACTGTTTTGCAACCAGATCAGTCTCATCTAGTAACATCTTGCAGATACTTAATGGCTTCTGGCTGCCAAAAGATGATGAAAAAAGTTCTTGGGATAATGGAACTTTACTACGCCCCCTCCTCTGGCATCTTCCCAAAACAACTGGGCAGAGTAGGTTCAGACGTACTGTGACTGCCTTTCTTTTTAGGAATATGTTTTTGGGATACATGGCACAAACTTGTTAAATTGAAGTGCTTTTCAATTGAACTAAGTTAATTTGCCATTCTTCATCATTCCCTACCCCCGTCTTTTCCCTATTCTGACATGTGGCTTTTCTCAGTGGAAAAAAAAATCAATTTGCATGTTCACTTTCACCTTCTTTTGTCGGAATCACTGATTGAAAAAGTTCTAGTAAGAACATTCTAACTTTGGAATGTGGTATTAAGGTATATAGTGAATTGCCCGACAATACAAAACAGACTCCACTAGCGTTAACAAAGGAAATGTTTTATTCTCATTTCTGATGCAAGGCCTGTTGAATCAGGATAAGACTCACTACCCTACACTGAGCCTGCTGGGTGCCAGACACTGGAGACGGCATTACCAGTAGTGATGCAGAAACCAGGCCTCAGGGGAATGACTTGCTGAAAGTCAGGTCCGTGGTGAGTGGTTGGAGCTGCTGCTGAAGGCGGGTGTGTCCCGTGCGCTGCAGTGACTGTCCCAAAGCGGAGCCCAGCTCCCATTTGCCCCCCTGTGCTTGTGGGCTGCCTCATGCAAAAACTTTTGGACCTGACATGGCAGTACCGTGGTCTTGCCAGTTTTGAAAAATCATCTTTGAGATTCCACACACTTCGCTTTAGCCACTTCCGGTGTTTCATCAGTCCCTTCCTCGGCATGAACTCTTTGAAGTTAAGATTAGAAACCTTGAAAAAAATTAAAACCTGACTAGGTTTCCTTCTTTAAACAGAGGAAATTAAGTGACATTTGTTTTCTCCTAATTATAAAGGTATTATATAATCATTCTAGAAAATTAGTAAATATAGAAAAGTGGAATTGACCACATCCTATTACTCAGAAATGACCATCAGTTCTTCAAGGTGTTTCCTCCCAGGTTTGTGTGGATACACATCCCCCCCCCCCCCCAACTGGATGTGCTGTGTGTAAATATTTTTTCCCACATATCTTCAGAGAATACAAACACTTAGATATCTTATTAAACCTTCTCCTCTTTTTCTCAAACTACTTTTCTCTGTCTGAGGCTTTTAAAAGGATCCTTTTCTCTAAAGGGGACAGGAAAAGTGCCAAGCCCCTAAAAGCTGACCATTCTACTTGCTTTTAGAAATTCATGGAATGGAGAGGTGATCTTGAGCAAGCTTTAAACGATGTGTTGAACAGACCACACTGCCACACGGAGGAGTAAGCAAAGCTCAGTTCTAGCCGAGCCCAGAAGGGGTCAATTTCAGATTTAGATTTAGAATGAAATTCCCGTTCAGTATGTTTTCAATGCTGTGTGTGCCAAGGGCGAGGGTCTAGTAACACTAAACACCGATGAGCTGTGCTGGAAAATACAACTGGTTGTATTTTCATCTTGAACTGTGAATACATACTCTTATACAAGAATGATACAGCTTATGTGTCCATTGTGAGGAATAACAATTGTGTTTTACTCTAAGGTCTTATCTTAAAAATGAAAAGCTCATTTTCCTTTTTCTTATTTTTCTCATTCGTTCCTGTTGGACTTTCTGCTTTCTCAGATTCTGCACCAGCATTGTGGCTCAGGACTCCAGAGGCCACATTTACCATGGCCGGAATCTGGATTATCCGTTTGGGGACTTCTTACGCAAGATGACTGTGGATGTGCAATTCTTAAAAAGTGGGCAGGTACGGTCTGTATAGCATAGGATTCCAAAATCTGAGTCTTACTAACCCAAGTTAGCAATCATTAGGATGGCCTACTTCTTAAATGTTATTGGTTTAAGATACAAAAAACATCAAACTCCTGGAAAAACAAGCCAGAAGAAAGGTTTACATCAATGATGCTTATAGAAAGAAGCATCATCTATTATTATTATTATTATTATTATTATTATTATTAAGCACCTAGTTAGAGAGGTCCGTCCATATTCCTCAGGGAAATATGTGTGAGGGTGTGCTCTCTTGTCCACCTGTGATGCCTAGTCAGCTGTTTCCTCCTCTTTCCCATGTTTAGGCTGCTCCTGGAAGAGGGGCGTGGGGGGGGCTGTATGGTGTAATGGCTAGAAACACCCAACTTTGGGGTCTCTGAGTACTAGCTTTGAATCCTGCTTCTCTCACTTCCTTCGCGAACCCGGGAAATCACTCAGACACATTTTGCAGACTACAGCTCAGAGAGGCTAATAATTACTTTATAGAGATAATTATAAAGGTTAAATGAAGTAAAATCTATGCAAAGCATGTGGTAGATGCTTGATAAATGTGGCCCTTTTATAAGTATGATTGACCCCACCACACTCTTATGTATAATCTTTAAGAAAGTGTACTGAAGTCATTTTATTTTCATCATAGTAAGGACTAGTAACACCAAACTAACACTCGTGAATTGTAGCCAGTTGTGTTACTTATTTAAATGTATAATCTAATATGCACTATTGTCACATTTCTGGGGAAACTTTTAGGGAAACAGCACTGAGTTCACTGAGTAGGCAGAGCATGCTATTGCTGTGAAGCAGAATGGAGCATTCCAAAACCAGAGTTTGGTTTGGGGGGACATTGTTTAAGGACAAGGACTATATTCCATTTATCCTTTACATTGTTTTTATTTAACATTTTATTTATTTATTTTTAGAGAGGGGGAATGGAGAGAGAATGAGAGGGAAAGAAACTGAGAGACATCCATCAGTTGCCACTCACACACCACCCACAACCAGGGGACTGGTCTCTAACCCAGGCATGTGCCCTGACTGGGAATCAAACTGGCAACCTTTTGGTTTGACAGAGGACGCCCAACCCACTGAGCAGCACCAGTCAGGGCTTGTTTATTCTTTGCATTTAGAGGTTGAGTCACAAATATGAAAAACTTATTTAGGGACTTCTGGTCAAGATGGAAGCATAGGTAGATATATTTTGCCTCCTCACACAACCAAAAGAAGGACAACAAAAAATTTAAAAACAAAAAATAACCAGAACTGCCAGAAAATCAAACTGTATGGAAGTCTGACAACCAAGGAGTTAAAGAAGAAACTCATTCAGACTGGTAGGAGGGGTAGAGATGGGCATCCGGGGCAGAGAGGATGCGCACAGCAAAGCAGCTGGAGGACCGAGTGGTACCATATTTGTGTGAGGTTAAACCAGGAGGAACAACTGGAGAACAAGACAGACCAGGCAACCCAGGATTCCAATGGGGGAAAATAAAGCCTCAAAACCTCTGGCCATAAAACTTTGTGGGCATTGCGTCAATAGGAGAAGCTCTTAGCCTCACAGTAGAGTTCGTTGGAGAAACCCACAGACTCCTAGAACATACACAAACCCACCCACACAGGAATCAGCACCAGAAGGGCCCAATTTGCTTGTGGGTAGCGGGGGAAGTGACTGAAAGTTAGCCGAGAGCCAAGCAAGTGGCATTGCTCTCTCTTAGACCACTCCGAGAGGGAACACATACTGTGCCAGAACAAGGCAATGTGGGTTGTCCCCCCACCGGCGGGCATACCTAAGGACACTTACAATGTAACAGGTGTGCCAAGACCAAAAAAAAAAAAAAAAAGGCCCAAATGAAAGAACACATCAAAAGTCCGAAAATAGAACTAAGCTATGAAAAAATAGCCAGCCTATCAGATGCAGAGTTCAAAACACTGGTAATCAGGATGCTCACAGAAATGGTTGAGTATAGTCACAAAATAGAGAAAAAGTGAAGGTTATGAAAAGTGAAATAAAGGAAAATATACAGGAAACCAACAGCGACAGGAAGGAAACCAGGACTCAAATCAATGATTTGGACCAGAAGGAAGAAATGAAAATTCGACCAGGACAGACTAAAGAAACAAGAATTCAAAAAAAATGAGGAGAGGCTTAGGAACCTCCAGGACAACTTTAAACCTTCCAACCTCCAAATCATAGGGATGTCACAAGAAAAGGAAGAGCAAGAAATTGAAAACTTATTTGAAAAAAATAATGAAGGAGAACTTCCCCAATCTAGCAAAGAAAATAGAATTTCTAGGAAGTCCAGGAAGCTCAGAGTCCTAAAGAAGTTAGAACCAAGGAAGCACACAGCAAGGCATTTAATTATTTTTTTCAATTTTTAAAAATTTTATTGATTATGCCATTACATTTGTTCTATTTCCCCTCCTTCATTCCCCTCCACCCTGCACACCCCTCCCCCACCATTGGCACATATAATTATATTACCCAAGATTAAAGATGAGAGATTCTTAAAAGCAGCAAGAGAAAAGGAGACAGTTACCTACAAAGGAGTTCCCATAAGACTGTCAGCTAATTTCTCAAAAGAAACCTTACAAGCAAGAAGGGGCCGGAAAGAAGTATTTCAAGTGATGAAAGGCAAGGACCTACATCCAAGATTACTCTATCCAGCTATCATTTAGAATGGAAAGACAGATAAAGTGCTTCCCAGATAAGGTCAAGGTAAAGGAGTTCATCATCACTAAGCCCTTATTACATGAAATGTTAAAGGGACTTATCTAAGAAAAGAAGATTAAAAATGTGAACAGTAAAATGACAACAAACTCACAACAATTAGCAACTGAACCAACAAAAACTAACTAAGCAAACAACTAGAACAGGAACAGAATCACAGAAATAGAGATCACATGGAGGGTTGTCAGCAGAGGGGGCACTGGGAGAATGGGGGAAAAGGTACAGGGAATAAGAGGCATAAAATGGTAGGTACAAAATAGACAGGGGGAGGTTAAGAATTGTATAGGAAATGGAGAAGCCGAAGAACTTATATGTACGTCCCGTGGACTTGAACTAAGGTGGGGCAGTGGTGGTGGGAGGGGGTTGCAGAGTGGAGGGAAACAAAGGGTAGGAAAAAGAAGGAACAACTGTAATAGCATAATCAAAAAATATACTTTTAAAAAAGAAAATAAAATCAATACACATAAAAATAAAAAAACATCATTTACTAAATATTTATTTGGTCATCTGCTTTTACAAACAAAAGACTTTTTCTATTACATTTTCAAATAACAGTTATGGCTAGTATAGCTCAGTGGATTGAGTGTTCGCCTGCAAACCGAAGGGTCAATGGTTTGATTCCTAGTCAGGGCACATGCCTGGGTTATGGGCCAGCTCCCCAGTAGGGAGCATGCAAGAGGCAACCACACAATAATGCGTCTCTCCCTCCCTTCCCCTCTCTAAAAATAAATAAATAAAATCTTTTTAAAAAAGGTTCAAACAACACAGGGTTTCCCACATACTGCTACTTCTAGGGTGGAGCTTTTTAACCTTGTTCAGGTGGGAACTCCTCTGGTGAAGCCTATTGGTCCCTTCTCAAAATTATGGTTTATAATACAATATAAAATGCATGGGAGTACAAAAAAACATTGTGTTGAAATGCAGCCACTTCAATATCATATTTTCTCTTAACACATTAAATAGTAAAATTTGGCAGTGGCTCTGATGCCTACCATAATTTCTTGATGGTGATAAGTGTGAATGGTATTTCAAGACAATGTGTGTGGAGCATAGCAAAATAGACATGATACCATTATATACATGAAAATGTCTGCAATTTCTGCTGGTGACAGAATAACAGACACTGCTATAATGACATGGTTTGTTGCAAGTGTTTATTACAGAACAAGTGAAATTTCATTTAGAAGTCAGTGCAAGTAAAGATGTGCTCTTTGTTTCCTACCCAAGGTCACAGGTCTGCTGAATTCTATCCAAGGTTGGATAGCCTTCTAGAAGGCTATTTCAGGGTTTTTATTCTATTGTGTTGGAACCTTAGAAGAAAGAAAATTCATGAAATGGTGGAACAAAATAAGGCAATTACAAAGTATATTTGGTTAGGAATGGTAAAATGATACCTTATTTCTTGATTTCAGATTGCATTCACAGGAACGACTTTTGTTGGCTATGTGGGATTATGGACTGGTCAGAAGCCATACAAGTTTACAATTTCTGGTGACGAACGAGGTAATCGAAATGAACCCCCAAGCATTTTTAGCTATTTCCTTGTTCAGTTTTATCCAAGTACTTCATTCACTCACCCAACAGAACACGTAGAAGAACACCTACTAGAGTCTGTGGCAGGGACTTGCATTCTAGCGGGGCTGGTCGGACGGTGTGCATGTAAGCAAGGAAGATGACTTCAGGTAGTTATAGGCACTACCAAGAAAGTAAAACAGGACAGTGTGATAGAGTGAAGAGGTGCGGGGGCAGGGTGGTCACTGCAGCTGGAGGGTCTGGGAAGGCCTGACTCAGGTGGTCCGGGAGCCAGCTCTGTAGAGGCTGCATGAAGAGTCACCCCAGCGGTGTGACTGCAGCATAGAGTAAGGAGAGAGTGACCTGAAAGGGGGAGAGGCAGGCGAGGCCACGGGGAGTCTCCTGGGGAGGAGTTGGGGTTAAACCTGATGGAAGCTCTTAAGGATTTTAGGCCTGGGAGTGAACAGATCAGATTTATATTTTTAACTATCACTTTGGCTGCTCTGTGGAGACTGAATTGTATTGGCTTAAGATGGAAGCAGAAGTGGGTTATGAAGCCGTTGCAGCGATCTAGACGCTGTTTGATGGCTTTCCACGGGCAACATCTGTGAAGCACTTCACAGCTTACTGTGCCCTTTCTCATAAGCTTCCTCATTAGAGACTCACAACAGTCCTGTTACATAGGCGGGGCTCATAACATTAAACCCATTCATTATGTGGAGGAGGAAAGGGAGGCTATGAGGAGAAATGACAGCTAGTGGGTGGGGGAGGTGGTTCTTAAATTGATATCACAGGTCCCGGCCCACACCTGTGTGTATCATACAATCCCACTGCCATTCTCCGAATCTCAGGGGACATCATTTAGCCCCACAGTATGTGGGAAACCCAGAGACAGACAAGCACTTGTCTCTGACCTCAGGAACTTGCAGCTGAGTAAAAGAGAAATTCACAAGGAATCTCTTAAAATTTAGTGTTGGCTGTTGATGAACTGAGTTGACTTCCTGTTTTTGTTCCCTTTGCTTAGGTGTATTCTTACCTTTTGACTTAAATAAGGCTTTACCAGGAAGATACTGGTTGAGTATATAGGAGTCAGTTCTTTATTCTAACATACTTCTTCACCATTTTCTCAAATGTCAGCTTATGAGTGAGGCTGGTTCTCAAATGGTACTCCAACCACAGCATGATAGTTATGAAGATTTGACACAGGATGTCTGTAAACACAGGTATATTTAGTAAAAAGATTGACTTCGTTTCTGTCATTTTATCATTTAAATTGTTTAGCATACTGATTAGTAGAATCTAAGGTATGAGCAGCTTTAAAATAATGGAGTTATTTTATAATATACGCATTTAATTAAACACTGTCAAACTGCTTTGTTAAAACTTTTTAAAGCCTTATTTGAATGAAAACTCTATTTTCATCTGCTAAGATTGAGTTGAAATGCCCCAAAAATAAGAGAACATCATCTCTGGGTCGAGGGAGATAAGATGTTCGAGTCAGTTTGGGGCCATGGTGGAGAGTGCCAGCAGGGCCTCCACCCACTGCACGAGGAGATGCCCAACCAACCACCTGGCCGCTGGGATCTCAGGCTCCGCAGCCAGCCTGCTTCAGGTTATACCTTGACGCTGTCCCTTGCTGGCTGGGTGACCATGACCAAGGTGTTTACGCAGTCTGTACCTCAGTGTTCTTATCTGGAAAGCAGGGGTGATAATCGCTGGTGTGAGGAAGAAGGGAGTTCTCGTACTTGAAGAACTCAGAGCAGGGCCTGGTGCAGAGGAAGGGCCAAAAAAACATCTCCAGGACTGACCTCCTCTGACACCCAGATTGAAGGACCCAGCCACCATCTCAGCGTCTCTGTTCTGGTATCTACTAAGTCTCAAACCTGACAAGCTTAGACAGACCTGTTGCTTTTTTCTTTCCTTCTTTTCTTGCCTCCGCCCAAATCTGTTCCTCTCTTGGTTTTCCATGCCTTAAGAAATGGCACTTCTAATCAGCACAAGGCCAGCCTGTACCAGGAGAATTGTACCAGGAGAATCCTTTGACCCTTCACACCTCAAAACTGATCAGCTCTGCCACCCAAACTAGACTGTCCCTGCCCATCCTGCCTACCTTCACTGCTCGGCTCGCTGCCATCACACCTGTCCTGCTGCTGTCCCTGTTCCTCTAGTCGCCCTGCTCCTCACCCTTCTATAAGTCTTTCTTTATCTAGCAGCTAGCACGATCAGGTTGTTCCTCTGTTTAAATCCTATGGTGATTTTCCATTTCACTTGTAACCAGTCCAAAGTCCTGACTCTGACCTCAGAACTCTGTACCTCGCTTTAGGCCCGCCTCCTTCTCCCTTCCTCCCTGCACCTGCCCCGGCCAGCATTCATTCTTTCCCTGACATCTGTCAGCCTTGCTCCTGCCTTAGCTCCCGACACCCGCACCCTCTGGAATGCTCATCTTAGCTCAGGTGTTCACAACACAGACAGGCTGTCCTTACGTTCTTCTTGAAAGAAATCTTCCCTTGTCACTCATGATTACATTATTCTTATTTTCTTTGTTCGAGTTATTCAAATCTTGTTTGTTTAATGGTTTGGTCACCTGAGCACAAAGTTGGGAGTCTTTTGTAGAAATAAATGGCAAAAACTTATTCAAAGGTGCAAACCAGATACACAAATAGACAATACCCAGGGTATTCCGAAGAAGAAAGAGTTTTTATAGTAAAGAGTACATTCTTGAGAAGAATGAGTCATGCATACTTAGCCTCTGGGTTGATGGGAGTTGGCAGTCTTCCAGGTGTCAGGGTTCTGGGTGATGGATGTCAGGCTGTCCACACCTGTGGACATTCCTTTTGAAGTTCTCTGAGGAGTTATCTTCCCATATCTATGTCAGCCTGTCTATCTGTCTACCTACCTACCTACCTACCCTGGCATCCATACACTACTAAAAAGATCAAATGTTTACACGTTCCCTGGCTAGTTAAAGCAGGAGTAGAATCATTTCTTCATGCCTCAGCCTACTTGGTTTTAGCAACTTAGCAGTGTGACTGCAGTGACTCCATTTTATTGCTTCACTCTCCTCAGTACACTACTTTCTCCTGTTTACTGTTGAATGGGAGGGTCTGGACCAAGTCAGGGTATGGCACTGTTTCATGAAAAGGACCTATAAGTAAAGTGGCCCCCAAATGCCAAAGGAGCTGAGAGGCCAGAGAAAGAAGCAGACAAGTGCCGCTGGTTAGTTTAAAGAATTTTAACTGGGAACTTACAGAAATGCTCTCCTGGGTGGCAGAAGAAAAGAAGAATCACCCCCCAGACCACCTGTTTCGTACACTCTAAGAAATGAACCTACATACTCCAAAAGAATGTAGGGCTGATCTAGGGAAAGAAAGGGACCAGGTAGTGGGCACTGTGGTACCAGGGTGAGTTAAATAGATAACAGCCAGGGCAGCTTGCCCTTGGGCGCTCTGCCCCTGAGGAAGGACTGCATGGTGGAGGAAGGTTAACAGCAGTCCACGAATAGCCTGGAGCCTCTGTACACGTTCCAGAGTTCCACCAGGGAAAAGGGGAGTGGGGCCGAGGGTTCTGGCAGATTTGTTTCAAATGGAGTCAGCTTGTCAAGATGGAGTCAGCTCTATCTGAACAACCACATAGTAGGTGTTCAACGCTTATTTCTTGAATGAAAATTATTCTTTCAAAATAAATCCCCTACAGAGATTTTTAAAGATGTTGAAAAATAATTTTGGGAAATGATGGTAAATTTGTATTTTTTTAAATGTGAGCCTGAATCAAACTTAAAAGCTCTGAAAAATATGTATTCTCTACAGTCTCTGTAATACATGCTGAACCACTTCTCATGGTAGCTTCATAATTTTACTTTGCCTGAGGTAATTAATAGAGTGATTTCCTTGAACATAATTATCATTGTTCCCAGGCACCAGAAATTCTGTGCATACGTGTGATACACACGTGCACACACACACACACATACACTGAACACAGAATCTTTGGGGCCTGGAAATGATACTTTCAGCTTCATCTTCGAAAACTGTATGCAAATAAAATCACTCTTCAACCACCAACCTTTCTCCCGCATCAGCTTATGCTATGGGAAAGAAATAAGACTTAAGGAATTTTTTTAAGTGGCGGTGATTTGTGTATATATTTATTGTTCCTTCCCCTCGGCAGATAAAGGCTGGTGGTGGGAGAATGTGATTGCTGCCTTTTTTCAGAGACACTCTCCAATCAGCTGGCTTATCCGCACTGTGAGTATGTTGACTGTTGAGCCCACCGCGCCCTGACTGCATCTTCTAAACCGTGTTCCTGCTGTGATACTCTGTGTTGTTTAACAATGTTGTTCTTAATGTAAGAAGCTCCTGGAAAGGAGGAGCGTCTAAAAGTTGGCAAAGTGCTTATCAACCATTTTGATCATAGGTGTCAAAGATAAACAAAGCTGGACACTAGTTAAAGTGGTAAGGACAGATTGTAGTCAATGGGGTAATACTGCAATAGGGAAAAGTGTCCTGCCTGAACTGAACTTTGATTTGTAGAGAGGTGCCTGGGTGTTTGAAAGGGAGAATGAGGGAGTAGGGAGGGGCGATGGGGAGCACAGCACAGTCAGAGAAGTGACAAATTACAAAAAGCTGAGCACAGAGGTTGCTCCTGTAAAACGTGTCTGACTGGTAGGCGGGGAGATGGGGGCGGGGTCTTCAGGTGTTGGCTGGAACAAACAGCACATTCTTTTGGCACTGTTCTCGGAGGAAAGCTTTCGCTCTTCTAGGCTCTTCTGGCTGATCTAACAATCAAATTGACATGAGACAGATGAGCAGGAGAAAAATTATTAAAGTTTGGTAATTTTTATACCTCCTGTATACATGCAAGACACCCAGAGAAACGGAGGAACTCTCACCGAGGTGGTGGAAGCCATTACCTTAAATACCACATTCAACTAAAAACAAAAGGATATGTTGGGGGCGGGGACTCAGCTACGGGAGGTGGCCAGGAAAAGCACAGCAAACAAGAGTAAGATTTTTAATAGATTGGGCGTTACAAAATAGTCACAGGGATGGAAAGTACAGCATAGGAAATATCATCAGTAATATTGTAATAACTGTGTACGGTGCCAGGTGGGTCTTGGGAATATCACAGGGAACACTTTATAAAGTATATGATTATCTAACCACTATGCTGTACACCTGAACCTAATACAAAATACTATTGGATGTAAATTATGATTGAAAAATTTTTTAAGTAAAAAAAGTGAGATTTTTATGCAGGTTTAAGTCCAAGCCTTCCCCACTGATAAGTTTCTAGAGACTTAGATACCTTCATCCTTGGAGACATCCTCAAAGGCGGGGAGTTCCCTCACCAGCGGAATGTCTCTCACAAAAGGGTAACTTCTACCCAGTTTTCAGAGCTTCTGACACGTCTGGTGTTCCTTAAAAATAACCAGCTTAAAATAATCCTTAAGCCAATGAGACACATTTGGGGCTGGCAAATTCTGCTCCCCTACAGCAGCCTTGAGTTTTCTCAGACTTTCACTCTAAGGGGCCTAGGGTCATCGTAGGGGGGTGGCCTTGAGCTGTTAGAAACTATGTTAGTGTTCGTTCCAGGCTTTTTAGGCCAAGGTGAAGGCCTGGTCAAGAGGAGGGCTCAGGGGAGGCTGGCTAGCGTTTGGTCAAGGAGGGAATCTTCATCATAGGCCAGACTTTTCCACAATAGCTGGCTGAGATAGGAGATAATACTATGCTTTTCTTCAGATATAGTTGTGCCCTCCCACCTTAGACTCTCCATTGGCAAATATTCGGCTTAGCAAAACAGATGTATTAGAAGGCAGCGCTGCACATGCACACAGAGGAGCATCTGCTTCACAGGACCTGTTAGACAGCAGAGCTCCAGGCCACGTGTAAATTGTCGTTTGACCACGGAGCACGTGCCTTCTACAGCACATCTCCGGTGCAAGGATCTGGCTCTGCCTGGCTTGGCCTTTTTGGTCCTTGAGATGCACGCTTTGTGTGGGCTAAGTACACCCTCCTCTTGTAATTGAGCCTTGGTTGCTATTAGCAGGTCAATAGGAGGGATTTAGCCAGGCCAGTCAGCTGCAAGGATTGGCTGTGACCACTGACCACTGACCTCCACCCTCTGTGGAGGATCAGCTGTATAGGTGCTCCAATGTGGTCTCTAGCTATCCACTGGTTGTGCTGGCCCTGAGGTTTCCTGCAGGCAAATGTCAGTCCCCACCTGTGTTTTGCCCTGGGCCACCCTGCCTGAGCTATAAAGCAATATGGGATGGCTGCTGCTTGTTCTGGGATTACAGATTCCCAGGTGAAGCCAACCTGTCAATCTAGGTTGGCTGCTGGTAGTGCCAGGTCTGGGGCTCACTGAGGCCAGCTGTACTTGTTTGAGAGGATTTAGGAAGTTGTGCAGCATGAGCCAGGACCAGTCATTCGTTTGGAAAAGCAGCTTGGGTGGGTTGGTAGGCTGGGTTGGGCTAAGTCTCTGGGGATCTTCAAGGCAGGTCAAACAGTGTTGATGGAATCTGAGATACGGCACCAGCTTGCTGGCTCTGTTGGGGGAGGGTTTAAAAAAGGAACAATGGCCTCTGCTTGCCTTGATACTAGACACTTCAGTTTCTCCCAGTATGTCACTGGTACCTTGCAAGCTGCTAGCCCAGTGCCGGAGCTCAGAGGGAGTGAGTCTGAGTAAGAGAGTCCATGTGTGGGTTCTTTAAGAGGAACTGCTTGGGCTCCAGCAGTTTCCTCCACCGACTTAATCCCTACTGGGTTTTGCAGCCAGAAGTTGTGGGGACTTATCCTCCTGATACTGGAACCCTGGGCTGGGGGGTTTGGTATACAGCTGGGACTTCTGGCTCCCGAGATATGCCAACTGAATTTTTATCTACCACATGTGGGTGTGAGACCAGCCCATTCCACATCTCCACCTCTCCTACCAGTCTAGATGGAGGTGGTTTCTTTAATTCTGTAGTTGTCAGATTTTCATTCAGCTGTATTTCTGATGGTTCCTAGTGATGGTTGTCCTATACTTTAGTTCATTTTGATGTGTTTGGGTGAGCAGGTGACATGTCTGCCTATGTTGAAATTTGACTGGAAGTCTGTACAAGTCTTTTTGTAAGCGTATGTATGCATTTCATTTGGGTCTGTACTTAAGAATGAAATTGATGGGTCAAAGGTAGATGCATAATTAATTGAAGTATGTAAATTAAAGCCATACAATTCATCTTTTTGAAGTGCACCCCTCACTGATTTTAATATATTCACACGTATGATGGTGCTAATGCAGGGTTGTCTCTCTGTTCAGACCCTGAGTGAATCAGAAAACTTTGAAGAAGCTGTTTACAAATTGGCCAAGACTCCCCTTATCGCTGGTGTGTATTATATTGTTGGTGGCATGTCTCCCCGGGAAGGAGTGGTCATCACCAGGAAACGAAATGGTCCAGTGGACATTTGGCCTCTGGATCCTTTAAATGGAGCGTGAGTAGAATTAAAGGCTGTGGTCATTTTACATTAATAATTTATTATTTTTTATTTTTTAATTTTATTTATTTATCTTTAGAAGGGAAGGGAAAGAGAGAAGGAGAGAAATATCAATGTATGGTTGCTTCTGATGCATTCCCTGCTGGGAGCTGGCCTGCAACCCAGGCATGTGCCCTGACGGGGAATCAAACTGCGATCTTTTGGTTTGCAGGCCTGTGCTCAATCCACTGAGCTACACCAGCCAGGGCCATAATTTTTTTAAATAGGTGAAACTGGAGGTGTTTTCTATTTTATATATTCCTTCTTTAGTTATGACTGCAGTGACCTTGATGAGATGATTTGCTCTGTCGTAGGTGGTTCCGAGTTGAGACAAATTATGACCACTGGAAGCCAGCACCTGAGAAGGATGACCGAAGGTAGGGCTCTGTCTGGTTTTCAGTGTTTTCTTGTGGTCAGCAGAATGTGCCCCTCCTATTACAGGAACCGAAGAGGACTACGGGTGCTGTCCCCTCCCCAAAAATATACCTGGGGCCCCTTGCCAGTGCTGGTTTGGGCTGGGAGAGTGGGGGACCCAGGGGAGCACCTGCTGGCCATTGCTTGGGTTTTGGGAGCTTAAGGTTGTCCCTGGCTTCGGGGTGAGAAGCCCTAGATTCCACCACCAGCTCTGTTAACAGCTCACTAGACGGCCTTTGGGCCTGTGTTCACCCATCTGTAAAAAGAGAAGATAGAGCAAGATTCATGGTTTTCTATGTAAGACTTTTTTTTGGAAGGAAAACACTTTCATGCTTAAGTAAATAAATAAACCAGTTGGGGGCTTTCATTGTCACTTCTGATTTGGAAACTTCTATAATTTTCAGTCAGCATGTCCCAAAGAGCAGGTATTTCTCCTTGGCTTTACTGCCCCCCACCCCAGGGGTTTGCCAGCAGCTCTTCAGCTCTGCGGCATTTTCAGCAGCTTGGCTTCCTTGAGCAGATGGGGCTCATGGGCTGACTGTTGAATTCATTCCACCTGGGGGCCTGGGACCCTATAGGGAGAAAACATGCTTGGGGGCCAGACCTGTGTTGGGAAAGGGAGATCATGAGACTAGGTCTCACGCTGAGACCCCCAAAATAAGAACTGGTGGGGCTGAGGGTTTCCTTAGGCGATGAGTGAACTTTGACCACTGTCCTTACAGAACACCAGCCATCAAAGCCCTTAATGCCACGGGCCCCGCAAACCTCACCCTGGAGGCCCTCTACCAGGTAACTTGTGTTGGGATGTCCAGTTTTTGCTCAGAATGTTTGATGTCTTTCTTACAAGTGATTTAAGAAGATATTCTCTTCTGAAATCAAGTAAAGGTGGTAGATGCAAATGCTAGAGTAAGAGTTTTGCCTGGTTGAAAACATTACAAAAAATGTCAGGTGACATTTTCTGAACTTGTTTCTGTATAGGTTAAAGTATCTATGTTCTCCTGTGGCTTTCCGCATGTTAGGAAGAGATACAGAGGTAATTAATATGTGTTCATTGTTTCGAAGGAGAAAGGAGTCAGAAGTCTGAAACTCTGTCACTCTGAGATAGTGTTAAGTGGTGTTATTCTTCCTATGGATATTCTACATGTATTTCTTCTCTGTCTTAAGAGTTTTTATAATATGATTTTTTCTATGCAGGTTTTGTCTGTGTTTCCGGTTTATAACAAGTAAGTGACATCTGTTCACATCCGTTCACACGACACCCCGGAAAGCGGGCTCACGGGCTTCTTGGCTCGGCACGGGTACGAGGGCTCCTGTGGAACCGGCTTCCTGGGGGCTGTGGGGACAGCAGTGGACAAAACACAGCCTCTGCTCTCACGGGACTAGTGTTCTACCGACTGGGTGGGGCAAAAAAACAAACACATCATAAGACAGGTGGGAAGTCCACGAACAAAAACACAGGTGAAGAAACACAGACGTTTTCATCCTATGTCAGTTTGGTAGCTTTCACTGGTTGGGAGCTCCTTAATTTTGCTCTTAGAACTAAACTGTAGACATCTCTGGCTTTCCTTTGTCTTCCTGGGCAGGTTCTGTCACCCCATGCTCAGTCCACACATGGTTTTGTGTCTCAGTTCTTATGCCCTTGATAATCTACAGCCTGAGGTTTTACCCCCATACTCTTCTGAAGAGAACCACTGAACTGTCACTGCCATGGCCACAAGAATCTTGGGTAAATCCAAGAGGCGGCCAGCACCAAACTTGTGCAGGAAGCTGAAGGCCCACTGTCAGCATCACCGCAGGGCTGCGGAGCCCACCAGCCTGCTCGTCATTGTCCCCCTCCAGGTGTTGCCTGAATGCCTTACCCTGAGGCCAGCTCAGTAGGAGTGCTGACACCTTTTGCTTGTGTGGTGGGACTTAACTTACTAACATGAAAGAGGAAGCAAGCGCAAGTCAATACAGAGTTTCAGCTCCTTCCTATCAGTAAATTCCCCGAACCAGCTTTTCCTACTTATCATTCTCACTTCTGCTTTCTCCAAGACAGGAATATCAAAATAGTATTCTTCAACCCTGGCTGGTGCAGCTCAGTTGGTCAGAGCTTTGTCCCATAGATCGAAAAGTTGCAGGTTTGATTCTCGGTCAGGGCACCTACCCAGGTTGTGGGTTTGATCCTGGTTGGAGCATGTACAGGAAGGCGACCCACTGGTGTTTCTCTCTCTCTCTCCCCACCTCCCTCTTCCTTCCTCTCCTTTCTCTTTCTCTAAAAGCAATTAAAAAATGTCCTCAGCTGAGAAATAATAATAAAAAAATATTCTTCAAGAAACGGCCTAAAGCTGACAAAACCTGTAAAGTGATTTTTAATTTCAAATAATTTTTTTTCCTTTTTAACAATCCTCTTTTACACAAACACAAACTAGGAATTTTCCTGATGGCCTCTAGAATAACTTTTGTGTATGGGTGCTTGAAGATTTATGTATAATAATTGTTCCAAAATTGGAGTTATTATTTTTACTTTGTACAGTAATAGGAATAAATCTTCAAAATACCTCTTTGAAAGTTTTTTTAAACAGCGTGGTAAAAAAATTAATGCTAAAACATTTATTCCATAAACAATATTCTAGCAGCCAAACACAGAAAAACAACACTGCCTAGGTCGTCAGTATTTTACCAGTCTGCTAATGAGGTATTTGAGGAGCAAGTTGCACCCCAGTGTTTGGAGGGGAGCAAAACACAAACAAAAGACCCCCCTGATCTGTAGCATTTATTAGCTTCCATGGTGCGCATACTCCTACCTCGCCTATTTCAAGCTTATGATGGGCTCATAAACATCCTGCATGTTCAACAATGGCTCTCACCAGCCTGGGAGAGCCAGCCCCAAATGCACCTTCACTGGACTTCTTCTGGTAGGGCACAATTTTGCCCAAGAAATAGTCATCTGAAAAATAAGCATTAAGAGCCTTTTTTTTTGTATTCTTGCAGTTGTTAAAAATTATGACTGTATCTTTTAAAATTGGCATAATAAAATACTTTTTTATTTTAATAAAACATTTTCATGCTGTGTACAACCCCTATAACTTTTGTAATCCTTACCTGAGGATATATTCATTGATTTTAGAGAGAGAGGAAGGAGAGAGAGACATTGATCAGTTGCCTCTTTTATGTGCCCTGACCAGGGATCTAACCTGTGACCTTTTTCAGTTTACAGGTTGATGCTCCAACCAACTGAGCCACACCAGCCAGAGTAATAACCCCTATAATTTTAAATAGCTGCATAGCCAATTGAATGTTGTATAATTGAGTTAAGCATTCTCCAATTTTTAGTTTCTTCTCTGTTAAAGCTCTGAAATAAATATATTTGTGCATATCCCCCCCCCCCCCGCTTTTGGATATTTCCCTTGCCTGAATTTTTAGGCATGGAGTTGCTGAGTTAAAGGTTGTGAATGTTTAAATGGCATCTGAAATGTTTTATTGATGTGGAGTTATTAGAAACTATAAACAGCTTACAGAGTAATATTTTTGTCTATTGTATAATTGAAAGCCCAAGAGGAATTGCATTTAAAGGATAATCACCACTGAGCCGGGATTAACACAGGTCCCGGACTCTCAGGCCCTTTGAGTATGAGGTCAATAGAAATGAGTCTGAACAGAAGTTAGCGCTATTCTGCCCCCATGTGCTACACTGCAAAATTACACTCACCTGCAATAGAACATCTTCGGCAAAACTGTGACGGAGAATAGAATTATGACTAAGGTAAATAAACAGCCAAAGTCTTATTCCGGGAACCTCGATTATACCTGGACGAGCTTTGCAGGTGCTCATAGTGCTTTCTTCAGCTGGGTGTATGATTCAGTGTAGGGCCACTAAATCTGCCCGCTCTTAAGTAACGTAGCTCCAGATGCTTTGACCATGCATTCCAGCTGGTGTCCAGCACAGGCAGTAGGTGAAGGGAGTGAAGGGAAGGGGTCCTGTGTGCATGTGCACACCTGGCTCATGTTCTTCAGGTCTCCTGCCTTGCAGAACGTTGAGTAAATGGCATTGTACTTTCCATCCCCTATATTGATCCCTGAACTTTAGAAATGCTGCCCTGGCCTTCCTCTGACCCTCCCTTGGTATGAGGATACCTCTGGGTGAGGGGCATTTGCCCATCCAATCTGGCTTAAGTCCCCAGGACCCTGGAATTCCCTGCCTAAAGAGCACTAAGCCCATTTCCAGGGCCCTTGAGGTCCACTTCTGTGGGTGGTGTGTAGCCATTGTGGACAACCTGTGGGCCTGGCGGGTGGCCAAGGGATGTTTGCTGGGGGTCATGTGTAAAGCCTAAATGCAAAGATGTAGGTGTCCACATAAGTGTCCATGTGGGGTAGGGCAGAGCAAGGGGTGAGTGAGGGCCAAGACCTGCTCTTCCTCACTGCCACAGCATGGAACTCTGAGGGTGAGTTCCACTTGGCCTTTCGTGGTGTTGTCAAAACAAGAGGAAAGAACACCTTGAATGTATAGTCATTTGAACTTTAAATTTTAAATATTTTCATATATGTGGACCTCTATTTGTATTCTTGTCTTAGGTCCCAGTGTTAGGGAAGGGCTTGCTATTATTTTTTCTTCTTTGGGACATTAGGGAAATGATGCATATATACTTCTCTCACTGTTTTTAGCCTCACAGTTTATACTACGGTAATGAGTGCTGCCAGCCCAGAGAAGTACATGACGCGGATCCGAAACCTGGATTAAAAGGAAGTAAGCAGAAGAGTGAATTCACCTGCTTTGAAAGGTTTGCTAAAGTTTCTTTGAGGTGGGTGGAGGGGTGGGTGTGTGCTGGTATTTCTCACAGAAGGTGCTAACATACCTAACATATATGCACATGTGATATTTTGGGACAGGCATCTGGCATATGATTGTCATTTGTGTCAGATGAATGTCAGTATGAGTTATTTCTTTCCAATCGTCTGTATGGTGCCCAGAGTCCTTTGCTGCCTTATCAAAACCTGCTCTCAGGGTAAAGGGTTATCTCTTCACTTACCCGGAGAGGAAAATGTTTGGTGAGACTCATGTGTCCCCAGAGTGACAGTGAGGTAGGCCCATCACCTTTGCAGCAAAAGACAGATACTGAGGGCAAAGGGTGCCCGCAGAATTTGTTTTAGGCATCAGCGAGCTTATAGTTGAGAGGAAGGACTTGAGGAAAAAGCCAGAATCCTTTCTGTTGTCCCCAAAACCTTCTGGGCAGCCACCTCCTAAGGGGACACCTCTCCCTGTTGCAAGGATCTTCTGGAGTTTGTAAACCTGGCTTGATAAATATGGTCATTCACATATCATGGGAATGTTAAAAATCAGTGTTTGGATTAAGGGTATTTGGTTTTTTCTTCCCTTACAGGTGATTTTTTAAAAAAATGGAATCTTGAGGAACTGCACTTTAAAAACTAAAAGTGAAAGGACTGTATTATTTTATGGACCATACAGGCTTCTTCCTTATTAAACTTTTCAACCTTGTGAACTGGGGAGGGGGAGGATCACTTTGGAGCTTGTTTTGGTGAAATGGGTAACAGGCCTCTTGTATTCGCTTCCCTTTTCGGGTTTATCCTGCCCCTCCCCGACCTTTGTCCGTCCTGGCTTGACAGACATATATTCAACTGACTCAAAGATCGTTGGTCTCAGCAGTCGAACCACATCCCAGCTTCTCACCAAAACGTAGCTATGTTGTTCCACCTAAGCTTATAAGGAAATGAGCTCTTCGTTCATTATGAAGTATTTCTGGAAGAATCTGAGAAGAAAAGATTCTTCTCAAAGAAATGGAGAGCTCTCGTTGGAATAGAGCCTGTTTGAATATTCGTTAGTCTGACCTTTGATCATGTATTTCATGTGATGAGATTCTCATTTTTTATAATGTTTCTAACATGATGTACCTCTTTTTTCTAAATAGCTACTTTCTTACTTTGTGAAAGCAATATGCAACCAAATAATTTCTGATGGTCACTTATCACTAGTTAATAAAATGCTGAAAAAGACGTTGGTGAGGAAAATTAAAATTTCCAACACATTTAGTGGTGTCTTCTCCTTATATCCTAAACAGCCATCCTGAGGAAGCAGGCCTCGTAGATTAAGTTAGGATTAAATCAGGATTGTCAGGATTTGAAGGAGCACACAGCTGCTTTGTAGAATTTGAGTTTTTCCCACATACGTATGAAGGAAACTTCTTTGGGGACGAAGTCAGAAAAGTCTAAGAGTGGAGCTGATTGGACAGCCTTGTCTAGTGTACCAGCGGCAGGAAGGGGAACCGCGCTCCGAGAGTGAGGTGTCAGCAGGGCACAGACCCCCCCTCCCCTTGCTGCAGGCCTCTCTGGTCGCCCAGAACGTTCTGCTGCTTCTTGGGCAGGGTCGGGCTAACACTTAAATTGCCATCGTCCAGTGCCCTTTTTAAAATCAAATATCAAGAGTAATTTACTCATGCTGAACACACCACCCTGCCACTGATCAGAAGTTTCTACTCATTCGTCACATTTCATTCTTGTTTTCTTGAAAACATACTATGAGTTTTGAATGGAAATTTGGGGAATACCCTAAGTTTAACCGGCTGAAGTGGAGCCCTTGAGAGCTTTGAAGCAGGGCAGTCACTGAAGTCATGGAAAACTCTGGTTGCTTTTGAGATCTTTGTCCTTTGTGCCATGTGGGTTCACGCAGGCGGGCCTGGATGTAGATGTATGGGTTTTTTTTAGTCTCTCCAAATTTCAAATGTATTTCTTTTATTCAGTTTTGGAAAATGCTTGATTATCACCTGAGAATTAGTCTCCTACTTTCTCCTGTGTCTTCTTCTGAACTCTGAGTATGAATATGACACCTTTTCTATCATACCGCTATGTCTCTTAGCCCCTCTGGAATTTTGGGGGCAGGAGAGTGAGAGAAGTGGATTTCCCTCTCAATGATGTATTCTGGGTATCTATTTAAAGATCTTCCCCCCACCCCGTAAGTCAGAAATATTTCTTCATTGGATTTATCTTTTTTAATATCAAGAATAATATTTTTATGTTAGATGGACTATTTGGTCCTTTTTCAAACCTGCCAGGATCTTTTTTTTTCTTAAAAGCATCTTGTTGGGCAGGGCCCCCCCCAAAAAAAGCATCTTGTTTTTTTTGATTTGGTGTCTTTTGTTATGCTTCTTACCCCATACTTATTTTATATTACGCTTCTAAATTCCATCAAGTGCTCAGGTATCCGATTTTGCTGTTTGTTTTTGCTGGCTCTCACTTATTGAAGCTTCTACAGTGTTTTATAATTTTGGATGGTGAATTTGTGGTTCTCTGGAAATCTTGAAGGCCTGGGTGATGGCGCACCACCCAGAGAGGATATGTGCTTGTTAATTTCATAGCTATGATTTCTTAGAACACTCAAGTAATATAAATTGAAGCCTTAATTTATATTGTACAAAGGCAGACCTGACGTTACAAATTCATTAAGAGCCCCATCTCTTACATAGGCTGAGATATTATTTTAAAAATCCTCACTCGAGGATATGTTGATTCATTTTTAGAAAGAACCCTGGCCGATGTGTCTCAGTGGATTGGGTGCCTGCCTGCAGACCAAGGGTTTGCCAGTTCAATTCCCAGTCAGAGCACGTGCCTGGGTTGCCGTCCTGGTCCCCAGTAGGGCCTGTGAGAGGCCACCTATCAATGTTTCTCTTGCATGTTGACGATGTTTTCCTCCCTCCTCCCTCTCTCTAAAATAAATATTTTTTAAAAAAAGAAGAAGTAGGAAGCAGAGAGAGAAACATGAGTGTGAGAGGGAAATACTGACCAATTGCTTCCTCCACACAGCCCCACTGGGAGCCGAACCCCCAGCCTGGGTGTGTGCTCTGACCAGAGATCGAACCAGCAAACTTTGGGTGTACGGATGATGTTCCAACCAACTGAGCCACCCAGCCAGGACCGTCCTTCAGGGCCTTTTTAATTTTTATTTTTAGAGAAAGGGGAAGAAAGAGAGAGTAAGAAAGGAAACTTAGAAATGCAAATGAACTTACTTGCTTTATAGATTTGCTGGCTTTCAAGGATGATGTGAGAGGAGAAAAGATTTTCAAAATCAAAGTTGAGGAGCTGGGGAAATGATTACATACAATCTTCTAATCTGAGAAAAAGGTTAGCACCTGGAGGGTGTCAGAATGGGCCACCCCAAAATCTACCACTTTGGAATGAAGATCGTTTTGATCTGAAGGCAATGGAGAATCACCTGCTACAACAGGAAGAGTTCTCTGCCTTCCCCTGTCTGCTGAAGGCAGGGCGTGACTCCGCGTTGGTGGAGGTGGTCCTCTCTGTACCGCGAGGAGGAGAGCACTGAGAGGCCTCAAACAGACTTTACTAAAATCACCTGGATCTTTCATTAGTTCTCCCATCAAATTCTGAGTCATTTCTCCACACTTCGTCTTTTTGAAGCTGGACAGTAAGAAGCTAGGAAAATTCCTTGGCAAGTGGAATGTGGACACTGAGACAAATAGCTGAGCAAATTGGCCCAACAATTTACAGCCAGATACAGAAGGTCACCTGGGCAGAAAGCCCCAGGTGCCAAGCAACAGGTGCCAGGTCTTGTCCTCAGGGTGGTCTTTTCTCTCTGGCCAGTCATCACCCCTGATCTTTCCTCCACAGAGATAATATCTAGGCCTCAGTACCTAGAGGCCTAATACCTAGGCTTCAGGACCTGTAAAGCAGCAAAATTAGATGGGCTATGACAAAACCAGCTGAAATGATCCCCTGCCAGGGTGCTGGCCAATCAGTGGAGATGACGACCCTGAAAGGGCACACCTAGAGCTCTGACTGGTGTGGCTCAGTTAGCGGGGCATCATTCTGCAAACTGAAATGTCACTGGTCCAATTCCCCATCAGGGCACGTGCCTGGGTTGCAGGTTTGGTCCCTGGTCAGGGGCATACGTACTAAAGGCAAACAATCTATGCTTCTCTCCCTGTCTCTTTCCCTCCCTTCCCCTCTCTCTAAAAATAAATAAATAAAATCTTTTTTTATAGGGTACACCTGGATAAGCTGATAAATATTTTATTGAAATCTTCCTTAAGACTCTGAGCCTTTCAAAACCCTCAAACCAGAGGTCCCAGTGCTGTGCTCTCCCCTTGGAGCATGCCCATGCCCTTCCCTTCTTCCTCTTCTTCCCCCCACATGCACCTGTTAAACTCTAAAGGACTGCATGAGACTTGCAACCAAGGGAGCAATGGGCCGCAGCAGCTCCTCCCAGGCTGACCCCCTGAACCTGTGCCCAAGGCCCTCTTTCCTGTGGCTTTTCAGTGAGCTAACAGCAGACCTGTTTTAGCTCACTCCTGTCCCGTAAGTTTCTGGAGAGCCAAAGCAGCCCCACCCGGGCTCTCTCCTGTTGCTTGTTCTATCCTAAGACTTTCCTCGTTTCACTTCCCTCAGCTTTAATAAACATCCTCTCAATATCAACTGGACTCGTGTTGTGAAATCTTTGCTGCATAAAGTCAGGATCCTACACACCACTGACGCCCTCTGGGCTTGGTCCCTTTCAGGTGACAGTCACACAAGGCAACATCTACTAGCCAGTTCTCACTGAGGCAGGTCATCAAGAAGACCTTGAATAGATGAAGATCTAATACATGCATACTGAACAAAACTTTCATGCCATAAACAAATCATCTAACCTACTGCTGCAGAAAGTAGTCAGCTGCTTAAAGTCAGTTTTAGAGCTGCAGGGACTTCAGAACCAAAAGCTAATGCTGTGCTAATTGCAAAATGATCATTTCACACTGGAGGACTTGGACAAGATCCTAATTTTATCTCCACTAAAGGCAACTGGATGAGCAGGCTATTAACAGGAGGCTCAGTTTCTGTGCTTGTGCCCAACAGGAAACATTCATATTTTAAGCCTTAAAGAAAAAAATTACCCTCACTGAGATATAGTCAGTAATTAGGCTGATGCAGTACTACAGGGTGGTGCAGAAGTAGGTTTACAGTCATGAGTATATGAGGCAGAGTTTATTCTGGTATTATTAGTTATTAACTATTGTGTTTATATTATAACTGTAAACCTCTTGCCTACCCCTGTGTTCCAGTGGCTTGCTTTTTCAGTTAAAACTATGGACATCTTTTCATGGCAGAGGTTACTGCTTTTTTTTTTTTTTTAACAAAAAAGACTGTAGTATTGTCCTATAGGCATGTACAATAACTTATGTAACCCATCTACAATTTTTGAACTTTTAAGTTGTTTCTAATATCTCATGATTACAAACTATGTTCATGAAAATCTACCTATACTTTTGTGTGGGTGTATGGTTTTATCAGATACTCCTAAGTGACATTTCTGGACCAAAGGGTTTGCATATTACAGATCTGTAATTTAATAAACTAAATACATAATGTAATAAGTCACAATTAAAAGTTAATCTAGTTTAATTCCCCAAAAGTGAAACAATTTAGATTCCCACCAGCAGTGTCTGGAGAGGGCCCTGCTCTCAATAACACAGCATTGTATCAGTCTTTTAGCTTGTAGTTAATTTGGAGAAAAAAATATTAGCAGTCAACCACTAACAAGCAGTGAGAAAATATGAAAATACTAAAATCAGACAAAAACAATTCAAGGCCCAAAGGATTTTTAGTGGTTTTATTTTATTTAATAGGCCACCCTCTACCAAGAAAATTAAAGAAACATAAGCCTTCATGTATTATAATTATAAAATTGCCAATGGCAATTTCATATGGTTTAATCTAACTAATTACATTATTTCAGTACACATAATGCAAAGATTCGGAAATACAAGGGTAAATTGCTGAATCTGGACTTACAGAAATCTTTAAAACATTTTTCCAAAGATGGGCAGATGGGGAAGAATAACTAAGGATAAAGAGGATTTGAATAACGTACTTAACAAGCTTGACCTACTAAATATATGTAAATAACAGAGTGTCAATTTCTTTGCACAGTCCCATGGAATATTTAGTACCTACCCAGGCATACATGGGCATCTTAGATTTACTAAAAAACTATGTTTTCTGGAAATAGTGATTTACAATTGTTTGGGTTATATGCTAG